CACGCTGATTGCCACGGGCTGGGTGGAAGCAGAAGAGACAATATGCAGTCTCACATGTGGGGAAGTCTAAATTTCACCATGATGTTTTATTTCAATCATTCCGCTTGGTTTTTCCTTCCGACCTCTGCAGAGCCAAAGTTATCCAAAGACCTCAAATAGGCAGAAGTTGCTTATTAATTGATGCAAAAATGCTTTAGCTCTGAGACAAAATTACCACTTTTTTGCCAGTCAAATATGCTCACAGAAGAACAGAGGAACTGCATTCAAATAGTGCTAAGATGCATTCTAATAGTGCCGAGATGCATTCTAATTACTTCCAGGCAGCATTACCACAATATATGTTTTTTAAAAAAGACAAATGAAAAAGTAGAATTTTCTGTAATAAGCCTGGATTTGGCACTCTCATTATCTTGTCATAAAAAAAAAACAGCTCTACTTGTAAACATGTTTATTTCCTCTCTCGGCAGCACAAAGTATCGCTGTAACAACTTAGTTTCACAACAGAAAATGTTCACATATCAGAAATTTATTTTAGGGATTTTAGCTGGTAACTAGACCTTTCCATTAGGCTACTGCAGCAAAAACATAGCTGTGTGAGCAGGGAGGTAAATATTGTTCTCATCAAACAAGGTTTTGAAATGTCAGAACCTTCCATAATTGTTCATGGAGTAAATATCTTCTCTATTTCAAAATATAAAAAATCTGTTCCAGCCAAATTAGCAGCTATAGAGGGAAAGACCATCTAACCTGATTAGTTTACAAACATCACTATCTGACAGGAGGTGATTATACCCCTGCAGAGGACAACAGCTGGAGGACAATTATGCACTTTTATTTATGGCAATACACCGATACTGATCCAAAAGTTTTTATCAAATCTGTTATATGAAGTCTTCCAACACTTTTCTTGCTTCTTGGTGTTGGCAAGACATTAATTCAGCATCAGCTGTTTCTGCAAATGTCCCCAGAATCACATTTAGCCAAATGAATAGGTCTGGTGTGTCGCTAAATATTGAGGAAGTAGTGATGATTTTACTGGGTGGCAAAGTCCTGGAATCTTAAAAAAGATGTGACACCACAAAGCACAAAGCCGACAATGTCAACAAATAATGTCAACAAATAGGAGTGTCGTTTTCCCAGAGCTCATGAAATGATGCACATCATGCTGTGTGTTGTTTTTTTTTTTAATGACATAGATGTTCATCATCTTGCTGTGCTTTGATTAAGATATGGGGATGCATGATATCCGTGTCCATAAGACAAAAGATCGGGGTTCCAACTTTAACCTGGCATCTGTAAAACTTGAAAGACCAGTTTGAGATCTATGTTTCCATTACAGCTTAACAGAAATAAAAGCTACATACCCAAAGCAACATATATTTTCTATTTTGCTTGTTATTCCATACGTTTCTACTTAACTCTTCTGTCTTTCATTTAGAAGAATAATCCACAGAAGCCATTATCTTTTCAGTGTAGATGTCACAAAATACTCAGAGTGAAAAACTATAGAGTTGATACAGGCATACTTTCATCATCAACATTATGTCAGACCAAACTTTTCCTGTTTTAGGTCAGTCAGGATTGTATAATTTTATAATGACAATAGAGAGATTCAGACAGAAAGTTGCATATTCTAAGATTTATAAGCAATTTGCAGAAGCTCAGGCAAAGTCATGGCTTCATAAGCTTTTTAATCAAAATGATATTATTTTAGCAGCAGTGGGCATATCTGATTTAAGCAAAATAATTTATATCAAGTTATATACGTTTGTGTTAACACTCATGTACACTTAAATGATATTTTTACTCAATATTATAATACTGTGAGATACAATACCGACCCACGCCTACAATACTGTATAAAATGCAAATGGAAATCTTTACATGCATTCCTACAATATCTCACAGCTTCTATCTATAGATGATAAGTTTTCAACCTTTGTAAACCTTGACTTCCTATAGAGCAACAACTTTTTCCATCTGAAGCCTTTGGCCTTCATTTCTATACTAAAAGAAAGTTTTTTCATGAACTCTCAGCTGGAAAACTGCAACAGTGTCTGTTTGGGTTACCTAATGACGCTCTGGAGTTGCTCCAGCAGATCCAAACCTCAGCTGCCAGGTTTCTCACCTACACCAAACCTTGGCAACACATCACTCCAGGTCTGATTCAGCAACGCTGCCTTCCAGTTGGGTTTCAGATCTGTTACTAAATTCTACTTCTCACCTACAAATCCTGTCACTGCCTTAACCCTCGGTGCCCCTTTGACCTCCTTTATCCCTACATTTAATTTGAGATTCTCAGGTCGACTGGAACTGGACTACTCTTCATCTGCCACACAGGAATTGATACTTTAGGTACCAGAGCTGTTAGTCACTAAACCTCAAACTTCTATAATCCTCTTCCTGTCAACCTTTGCAAAACTTAATCTCTGGATATACAAAAAAAAAAAAAAAAACACTCCCAATATCCTCTTAAACTTGACCCTGGACTGCCTGTTTTATGTGTTTTTATTCTGGTCTTCTATGTAAAGCTCACTTTGGCTTCTTTAAAAGTGGAATATAATTTATTATTTGAATGTTTATTATTTGATGTATCTATAGCTTAAAAAGCCACAGAGCTTTCAAACAAATGTAAAAAAAAAAGTTTCCACATTCAAAATTAGTGCTTATCAATATACATATATTAAAATTACAGAGAAGTTTCTTTGACAAATGCATGTAATATTAAAACTACTAAATCATTAATGACCTTGAAAGCTTGGTGCTGCTTACTAGTGCAGCCCAGTGAGTCTCGTCATAAATGCCTCAGACTCCCTGAGTAAAAGTACAAACCATTGATAAAGATTTTAATCTTTGATTTTTGCATCATTTGTTTCAATTAGAGGGGATCCCTACTGAGTACAAGACAAGTACAGTGACTTTAAAAAAAAATATGTAGCAATAAATTTTGTGTGAAAAAATTCTAACCTGTGGCAGTATTCCTCCATCAGGTCACAAGCAAAAATGCCCTCAAGCAAGGACAATCAATGAGGTGAGCTTAAAAAGAAAGCTGGTTTGGCTTAGAGATTTTCTCATTGCGCCATCATTAATAACTTGGCTATTTTTTTTTTAAAGAAAGGACTCAGAACAAAAATAGTTTAATCTGTATATCATCTTCAGCATTATTTTGATCTCATTTACTTTAACACCAATCTGAATGTGCAGTCGCTTTTTCCCAGTAGGGTCAATTACTTCAAAAATGCCCTTAAAACATGCAGCTCCTCAGCCATAAAACATTGCATCATCATTAGCCAATCGCAGGCGGGCAGGATTCATGGGGCTTTGTGTGACACAGTCCTGGGGAATAAGCAGGTGGATGTGTACAAAGCTATGACTTCACCATCATAACGAGATCTGATGTGTGCTGCGGTCAATAAAGAGCTGCATTAATAGCTTAAACTAACAGTTTGGTAGTGAACAAACATTTGAACCAGGAACTTATATTGTGTGCAGTGTGATCCAGCATAAACAGACTTCAACAAAGACAAGAATAGGATATGAATCAATAAAGGTCATGTCCCTGCATCTCAAATAAATATCTGACGGTAGATGGATATATGACCCAGTGCAGATCACATGTATTTGCTTTATTACCTGAAAAGATGAGATTACAAACAGGTCAGCTCTGTAGCTAGTTTCAAAACACCACATGCCAACTGTACACCATTATCTCCCACTTTTCTTCAAACCTAAAATTACTAAATGGGTATCCATTTTCATTCATACTAGATAATACACACCTTTACAGTACTCAAGACCAACCTTGAACTGATATTAAATAACTTAGTTTTCTTTCACAGTCAGCCAAATGAGGGAGTGTGTTGTACATGTTGTCAGCAGCAAATACAAGACATAACAGCTCAAAAAAAATCTCATTTTAGCCAAGAGATCTCAGTCACCCTATGTGCAACCTTGTCTATGTACCCTGTCTCTAACAGATCTCCCCTTTCACATGTTATGATGTCTTTTAAGCATGCAGGCTCAACCCTTGCAAGCCCTTTAGTAAGCATCAATTTGGCATAGCCATAATATGGAATCAGAAGATAGATACACAAGTGTGTATGAACCTAAAAGGATTTGAAGTCTCTGCACAATGGCAGCATTATGATGAGGAATCACTCTCCAGTGGGCCAGTTCTGAGATTACAGCTCGACTTCTGCTTAATCAAATCTTCTATGGTTCGCCTGGAATCGCCAACTGCTCTACAAAGATGATCCTTTCTGCGGTTACAGGAAGTGGAGAAAACCTGGCTTTGCTAATGCAAACAGCACATTTCTTCACTCACCATAAGCTGAGACTGGTTTGACAAATTACTGCCTAGTTGGTGGCTTGAATGCAATTAGATTGGTCCTTGGCGGCATTATGTTCAATTAGTACTTTGAATTGCCAGCAACAGTAATGATAGCAGGTCAAAGCGATTTAAAAATCTCCTTTTTTTTCCCATCTTGGCAAATTATTCCAAACAGCTGTGTTCTCTAGAAAGAGAACATCCACAGCCAAATTGTTCATGTTTAGGAATAAAAGGCTCCCATGGGTGCATATTCAGGCTAATCCATCTCAATCCTCCTGAGACAGACAATGACTACAGACACAATTCAGATAGAAACCCACAATTGAATCACACACAGACACACACAACTCTGGACATTGCAAAAGGCTTCATATCTGCAACTAATCTGAAGCTCAATCAGATTTTCCTGAGTTTACACATACAAATGAGACAGTCAGAGGAAATAACTCAAATGACTGGATAGCAAGAAAAGGTAATTTACAAAATAGCTTCTCTGCTGCAGCCAAATAAGATCGAGAAAGCTCATTTAACACCAAACAGAAAAATCCTACAAGAAGACAAGTTTCTACTCGTCTACTGTTGATCTCAAAATCACCACATGCTGATCACATCAGTTAGACGAGCAGCAAGTTGCAGCTGCCTGAATCTGAACCTCCGCATCAGAACTTACCCGTCCATTTACGAGTAAACCATTTTTTTATCTTCTGTTCTTTTGAGCCTCCTTTCATTCTCTCCCCGTCTTTCATGACTTCTCTCTTTTGTCTCGCTTCCCTTCTAAATACCGGCTACGAGACTGTCCCTCAGTGAGCAGCAAGCCAGGGATGAAAGAGGAGGGGAGGAAGGAAAAAGGTGAGGGGAGGGAAAGAAGTAAGAGAGTGAAATTAATGTGGATAAATTCCCTGAGCCATGTGATGCTGAATTTTCCTCTGAAAAGTCTTCACTCCACCTCTAATTATGTCTTAAGTGAAGGTGTTTTCCAATGAATTAAGCTCACATTCTTAAATTTAACTTCAACATGTTTACTCCTGCTTCATAATATAATTTTACTCATTCTGCTGAGATTTTCCTTGGTTCTGTCCAGGAAGTAATTTTCAACAAGGTTTTAAATGTTGAAAAACTTCCTTTGAGATTAAAAGAAAAAAAAAATAGGGAATTGAAGATAAGAGGTTGGATTGAGTTCTCAGGGGAAAAGCCAGAGCATCTCTTTAAAGATAGACCCACCCATTCATCCATTTATAATACACTTTTATTACAAGGCAAAAACCCTTACTTTCTTTTGAAATTCACAATATTATTTTGTCTTTTCTGTATTTTATTTTTTCACGCCCACACATGCCCATCGGAGCACTTCAATTCCCAAAGGTTTTCCATCTGGTTGACAGCAGCAGCTGCAACCACAACATGAATCCTCACACTTTGCTCTTATCTACACATAAAAAAACCAAAAATCTGTCACAAGTCCCTCTCTCTTCCTTACACACGATCACACCCACTGACACCACCTGCTTCTCTAGTGCTACTTCTGCTCTCCACCATTTGTTGCTGCTCTCACACATGGTGCCTCCACCCAGTGTTTTTCTTCCTTTTTTTCATACCACCTGGTCTTCATTAAGCAGCCTCACTCCTTACACCTTACTGCTAACCTACTACCTGATACCATCTAGCAGCATCACTCTCCTCAGGCGATGCTGCTCTCTAGCCCAGCCCCCTCAGCCCCCCGCCTCCTGCCTCCACAAAGTGTAGCAGGAGGACAGCCAGCTGGTTAGATGGCATGGCACTCGGAACCAAAGGAAATACCTGCTACATAAACATGCATAGAGAGAGGGTTCAACATGCCTTGGGATGGTGCATTGCCCATGCTGCGACACGGACGGCTGCAGCTGAAAGTGATTGCGTTTCCTGTTCCCCCTCCTCTCTTTTTTTTTTCCTCCTCTCCACTCCTCCCTCCTCCCGTTCCTCGCTTTCTCTTCTTCACAAAGCGCTGTGTCTCTCCTTCCTCAAGCCGGTCCTCTTCTCTCCTATTCGTTCCTCGCCTTCTCCCGTCCTACTCTCCTTTGTCTCACTCTGGCTCTCTCTTGCCTCCGCCGGAACCTCCTTCGCGAGATGGCTAAGGTCCAGCAGCGGCGCTTTTGACAACACTGCGCGTGTGTGACTCTGAGCACGTGTGTGTGTGTGAAGGTGGGAGAGCTGGTGTTGTGTGTGTGCGTGTGCGTGTGAGAGTGAGAGATGGAGAGAGAGTGAGGAGAGCGATGGGCGTACTCTTTGAGCTTTTGGAAGACTGAGCATGCCGGTTCAGAGATGCTCTGCACACACACCGTAGAATGAGACAAAAAAATGATTCCCAATGATAAACTTACACTCCCTCACCCACGCAATCTCACTTGCATTTCCCTTTCTTCATTCCTCCTTGCTAGACATTATACTCTCTCTCTCCTCTTAAAGACACAGGCGTTGCACTGCATTGCTACACGCCTGAGGCACATCTCATGATATGGTGACAGAGGGGAGTTCAGGATCATGGTCCTTTATGAGGCTCTACGGTAGAGCTTGCAGGAGGGAAGGGGGGGAAACGTTTGAAGCATTAATAAAGGGCGAGGATCAGAGAGGGCTTCCGCTGGTGATTTGAGAAAAGAAGGATTGGAAAGAAAAATTAGAAATATCCCGTTGTGATAACAGCATCTAATGATGAAGCAGCGCTGGCCCAAAGGTGAGGTTGGAGCTGATTGTCATGGCAACCACAGATCCAGAAAGGATGGCAGCAGAGTAACCTCAGCATCACTGTGGCAGTGACTCTGTCCTGCTGAAGCCAAACTATCAACAACAGACACCAACAATCAGAATCCTGTTACCCGCTATTCAAACGGGCCTTTGATTAGAAAAAGCAGCAACTCTCACATAAATTTATGATAAAATGTAAAATATTAAAGACAATAAAGCACTAGAAGTTGCTTGAAGAACCAGAAAGAGCCAAGCTAATTCACTGAGACAAGGGATGAAAGGTTTAAAAACCCTGCGACATCAGCTCCTCCACAGTAAGCAAATCAATTTGGTTCCTGAGCAAGACCACAGAAGCTACTATGGTCTACAATCATGCATTAACTTTTCTGTCATCTTAAACAAAAAAAAGGCAGATATTTTCTCAAAATACTGGGTTTTCACCGTATCTTGAGAATTTTATTCAGAATAAAATTACGCACATTTCCACAGCCAAATTTGTTCTCACACCTTTAAAAGAATAAAGAACTAGAGATGCGACAAAATCCTTGTCATTTCGTGGCAGATGTTTCTACAGTGGTCAGGATTTAAAATTGGTTCCTGCTAAAACATTCGGTTGGCTGGCTGGATGAACAGATGAATTGACAGACAGAGAGAAAGATGGACAGATTGACAAATCAATGACTGAAGGGTCGAGGTATGAAAAAATTAATATTTTTTTTATCAATCCACTGTTTTCTTTTTCATAAGTATCCAAATGTGGAAAACATTTAAGCCAAACTCTGTGCTTTTCCAGACTGTGCTGCAATCCTGAAGATAACATGAGCTTTATTTTCTTGAAAGGAGAAAATACTTATTATTATACTGTCACAGGACTCTTGGATAACCTTCAAGAAAATTCTGAGAAAAATTCCTTCAGCTTTTATACAACTAGAAATAATAAACTGAATCTAAAAAAACTACCTTTTATATCTTAAAACAACACTGTAGTTAAAAGCATTTCCATGACAAAAACAGCTTTATTACTATGCAAACTAAATGAAATTTCTTGATTTCTCAAGATAATATCAAAGTGAATTTCAAGCCATATCCTATAAAGGAAACTGGCCGACAGAGGCAAATGGTTTTAAAAACCAAGACAAAAAAAGTGGAAAAAAAATAGCCCACTATGTTATGAATGTCATTCTCCAAACCCTGGTAACAATATTAGAATACTAGAAACGTTCTAACTGCAGGATGTAATTTGGACTTTGTCAGGTATAATCAAGGCATTTTCTGCTTTTATTGTCAGATTTTACTTTAACCAGTGCTGACATGGTGTCAACACTAAGGAAACTAAAAACTAAGGCCTGTGACAAATTAGTATTTGATGGCGTGGGAATGAGGAGCAATTGTTCATTCTAATGACAGTTGAAAGCAGCAAAAGAATTAAGAAGTTCAAATGTCGGAAATACAAAGAGACAAGAAGACGGATGATCTCTACAGTGATGAGAATCATGAATAATTTATTGTCATGCTGCTCGTCACTTACATAGCACCATGTCCAGCTGGTTCAAAAGCTAGAGGAAATAATGCATCCACCTGTCAGCTGAAGACTGTCCCAAAAATCCCAAAACTGGACCACAAATCCTGCAACAGAAAAATCTGCAAGTTAAAGTTGACAAAAGTATATGTGGTCTCCCAGAATTTTGCCTGTGGATATTTACCCCACATCCACTGTCTATATTTTAAATTTGGGATCCCGTTCTGTGTGTCCCATAGGCTACAAAAGTAATGATGATTTACATAAAATTTAAAAATCAATATTTTCTAATATCTATTTCAGATTGTAAACAACGTATTGACATGGATCACATATTAAACCTCAGTTCACACAGTGAGACTACTGTCCTCATTACTTAGGGAAATAACAGCAGGACCTGTAAAGGGCTGGTGCTTTGCAGGGTTCTGCATTTTACTCAGTTGGAAGCACCTCACTGCTAGGAAGCATCTTGCTGAGTAAGTAATTTTAGGGAGTTGATGAGCCCACTTTGCAACAGTTTTCTCATGAAATTAAATCTGCAGTTTTATTTTTGGCTCCATATTGCAGAGAGAATTCTTAGGATGCAGAGTTGAAAATTGAATTTATTTTTCATTGTACCATTTTTTGTTCCTGGAAGAAAGTCTTGGGTCATCCCTATAGACAAGTAGGAGCCTAGTTTGCCCTGCTTGTCCTCCTTCCGCTTCTCCATCTCAGCAGTGTGAGCTCATTGACCTAGAAATCTTTCAGCACTTTCTCTGGCACAATAGATCTGCACTCGCTTCAGTGGAGTTTGGCTCTCTAAGGTTATGAAAAGGGGTTAGTGCATTTGGCAATGACACTCTGCCTTGGATATATTAATAAACAGTATGGTGTGCAGGGCAAAAAGGTGTTTTTAGTGTACGCTGGATGAAAAACAGCAAAGGTGACTCTCATAGCAAATCAATCATGTAAATGCTGCATGTGAAATGACAGGCAAAAATGCATGTGTGTCAGGGTAACCTTCAACTCAGAGACTACTCAAAATACCACTTCTGATTATGTTGCAAATTACAAATGTATTAATAAACTAACTTCGAACACTATTATGCAACTTCCATAATCAATATCAACTACACTACAATAAACAATCCGACACGCACCTCGTGCTCCAATCCCCACATAGCTGCTTAGCTTAGCACAAAAAATAATACCTACTCTGAATATATAAAAGTGTTGAAACATTTGATTTGAAATGCCGTTTAAGCCTCCTGTTTGAGAAATCCAAAATATATACTCTGACGAGCAACAGTTACACTAAAAGGGGTCCGCTTTTTCCGACGCTCCATTAATGAACCTTTCTCCATCACATTCCTAAACAGTTTTACTTCACAGGGTTAGGGAAGTATAAAACATGTATAAAAATGAATAGTCAGTAGTTTTTCCTCATTCTTAAAACTAAAATGGGACTTGTACATTTTGCAACAAATCTTTGCCTAAAAAGTAAAAACAAAAAAAAGTCAAAGCAGCTCTCTACAGAATTTGTAGAAAGCTGCATTTGGAATAAAAATGTTTTATTCCATTTTATTTTATTATTTCTCTACTGACTCACATTTTCCCTACAAATGTGAGAAAAAGGCAGTGTATTATCTTTTTATGCCATCTTTATTTAGTGTGTGGTGAGGACCAGGACACAGTTACAAATATATTTAATCTAGTTGTGCCAAAAATAGTAGCTTTAACTGCACCTCCTACAATTCATGTAAATTCAGCTGTCACTGAAGCATTTCTAACGTGTATCTCAGTGGTGCGATTAGGAACCTTTTTTGGAATCTATGGGTTCTTGCATTTCATATAAGTATGATGTGACACACAGGCTCTTATCCATTAGCAACTCTTAAAAATGGCAAAGAATGAAAAAATTTCTGAGTTTATTAAGGCAGACGTATGTTCATCTTCATACTGTATCTCAGGAAATTGCACCAAAAACACAGTGCGTCACTTAATCTTGTCAAATGATTAAAATGTTTAAAATGACTGGACTTGTAACTGTCCAGTTTATTTTTCCAATGTGTACAGTGAACGGGGTGATTAAGGAAGTTAAAAACTCCTAGAGTTATAGCAATTTTTAATGTGATTTTTTTTTTCTTCACTTTTTGCACATTGTTACCAGGAGTGCCAATAAATGTGGAGTGTCCTTTATAAATCTATGGAGACATGCTAATCAGTAAAGGGATGGTTATTCTCAAGGACATCATTTTTGAAGGAGCAGAATGATTAAAAAACACCAGAGTACTTTGTATTGATATGTCTGATGAGAAGCTATCACAATCCCTCTAAACTCTTTGGAGGAAGATTAAAAATATAATAAAATAAAATGGGAGTTTTAAGAGCAGCTGGGTCAGCAGAGTGGAATCATAAAGTCATCCAACTTGTTTTAGATTTTCATCTGGACCTATTTACATAAAACTGAGGCTTTCTTGGCCTTTAGTCTTAATTCAAAGCCAATGAAGCTGACAGATCGTGTGTTTCCATGGCAATGTGAAAGTCCAGAAATGACCAGGCAGTTTACATCGTGCAGTTTAGTCACTGGTGAACTATGTTTACTTTGACGTGTATGTGTGGGTTGTACGGTCAGGATTTCAAACACCGGCTGAGCTGAAAGCTCACTGCTGTGCACCTTCTGTGACTTCATTGTGCCAGAAAATAAGAGTTACCAATAATGTTAGAAATGTAGCCAGAGCACAATAGATTTAGACGTTATATCAAAACATAAGTTGGCCAGGTACATGCAGAGTAGCCATCTGTAGCTTAAAACAAATAAATTATTTTCCTGTCCTTTACAATTGATTTTCAGTGTCCTTTTATTGAACCAGATCAATGAAAAATAATGCTGCAGCACAGGTTTCCTCTGGGAAGAGGTCACTGGTGGTGGAGGAGGTTTATAGATTTTTTCTGTCAGTAAAAAGGCTATTACAATGATGCAAACACAAAGTCATCCATTTAGAGGCAACATGGGTTGATTGACTGTGTCTCCAGAAAAATAATCTGACTGATTAGTTTGTTGCACATAATAACTGTTGTTTGAACGCTACTTTAATTTTAATAATGGTGAATGTTTTGCTTTAAAGGCTGTTT